GCAATATTATAAAAAATGATTAAAAAACAGATAAAAATGCAATATTATTAAAAGATTTTTAATTCATTAAATGATTGCTTTCTTAGAGCAATTCTGCATCCATAATTTTTTTCTTTTCTTTTTTCTTTTTTTAAGATAGAGTTTTACTCTATTACCTAGGCAGGAATGCAGTGGCATAATGATAGCTCACTGCAGCCTCAAACACCTGGGCTCAAGGGATCTTCCTGCCTCAGCATCCTGAGTAACTGGGACTACTGGCATACACCATCATGCCTGGCTAGTTTTTTGAATTTTTAAATTGTTTCGTAGAGATAAGGTCTCACTGTGTTGCCCACACTGGTCTTGCACTCCTCCTGCCTTGACCTTCCCAAGTGCTGGGATGATAGGAATGAGTGCCCAACTCATACTTTTTTCAAACTGTCAAAAATACACGTAATATAACATTTACCATCTTAACTATTTTAAAGTGTAAAGTTTAGTAGTGTGAAGTATGTCTACATTGTTGTGGAGTCTCCAGAACGCTTTTCTTCTTGCAAAACTAAAACTCTGTACCCATTAAACAACTCCCCTTTGTCCACCCATCCCATCTGTAATTTTTAAAAATTACTTTTTATTAAGAGAGAATAAAACCTGTAATGTAAAAGCAGAGCAAGGATCCTAATAGGAACTATATTAGGAAGAGCTTAAAATGGAGACTAAACAGAAAAGTAGCTGCGGAGTTAACTCTACAATGGAAGTTTTTGTTTTAGACTCATAGAGAAGTCATTCTTCTCTTGCCTTTAATACCTAGAATCAGTAGAGGAATTAAAATGTCTGGAATTGATTGATGTCTTCACCTGCTTTGGCCTTTTATTGAATCTCTTCTAACTTTGTTATTTAATCTCCCTCTTTCCTTTTACTCCCCCTCCCCCAGTTTTAAGGGAAAACTCTCTCTCTCTTTTTCATAAAATAAATTTTAATTTCTTTAGCGAGGTGTTGGCCCTAGCAAACCATCTGTTGTTAGTAACACTGCTTCCTTATAACTTTAGTGCTGGAATAACTGGGTGAAAAACCTATTATTATACTGCTTTCTTTTGGACATAAGTTATATAGCAACTTGTTGAGATATTTCCTGAAAACTTGCCAGTTGGCTTTAAACAGAGAAAAAGAAACCACTTAAATACATAGAGATTTCAAACTATACAAATTAAAAATTAATGCAGATATATTAAAATAAAACTTTCTATGGAATGCTCTATTTAGACCTCATTTGTGATAACTTTGGGCTAATGTTTATAGTTTCTAATTGAGAGTGTTGTTGCTTTTGGAAACTTTTCCCCTAAGATTAACTCTGGTATCGCATCATTAAAATATGTTTTCTCTGTCAGCTGTGTCATTTAGCCTAACTAGTAGCGGAAGCAATTCTAAAATTGGCCTGATTTATGAAGTTTAATTTGAATAAAAACTGTAAGGTCAATTAAAATAATTGGTTGACCGATGGTGGCTTGACATACAAACTAATGGAAAGTTAGGGCAAAAATCCATTTTTAAAAAACCAAGAGTAGCTGAATACTTGATTGAATTCTCTGTTTTGCTTGTATAGACAAATTATCAAATTAAAGATAATCCCAAATATTCTGTGACATTTAGAAATACATTGAGGAATTTTGTTTCCCCCTCACTCCTCAGTTTTACTAGGAAAAAGCTTTCATTGATATTATCTTTAACATAAATGTCCAGAGAAGATCCTTTCCATAGTCTTCCTGGCACTATCACAAAAGTGAATTCAATAAACAAGTAACAGAAATACAGCAGTTTTTAACAAGATAGATTTAAATATTGTAAAGAATTGAAGTTCGAAAGGATTTTCTTTGATAACAAGATTTCTAGAAATTCTCAATATTTTATAATGAATTTCCAATTATTTCTATGACTCAAAATTAATTTTCCATTTGCATAGTTAATGACTTTTTGCCTGATACCAAAGTAATGTGTTTTTCAAAGGATTTTATGATGGAGATAAATGAACCTGTATCTGAGCTTTGTGTTATAGCTTCTCATTTCCCTTACAAGAAAGAAATGACTCTCCGATTTCATCCTGCAGGGGCTTCCTAAATTCAGGCCTGAAGTATTTTGATTTTTTTTTCACAGCCAGTTTCTTAACACTGTAGTTTTCTGGTCAAAATGACAAGGAACTCCGTGAGATTGGGGGGCAGATGAACTCATCTTTGCTCAGTATTTTGCAATCTGGATTATTAACCTCTTGGAATAAGGTTTGTGTATAGCACAACAGGTGACATTTAAAACAGTATTTAAGACCAGGTGTTAGTGGCTCACACCTGTAGTCTTGGCACTTTGGGAGGCCAAGGTGGTAGGATCACTTGACCCCAGGAGTTAGAGACCAGCCTGGGCAATCCCAGTTCTAGTTGAAAAAACAAACTTCAGTATTTAATACACGAAATGTGTATTTGAATGCACAATCTTTGTACACCATGTATGGGGAGGAAATGGATTTGTGGAACATTTGATGAAATGAAGAACAGAGAACATAAGGGATTGCTTCATCTCAGTATCAGTGATTAAGTCACAATAATTAACTTTAAAGTCAGTATTTTTTATAGATTTGGAATATGGTTGTTTTTTGTTAAGAAAGTTGTCACTTTTAAAGTACTTCTTTGTTTTTAAGATGAAAGGAAATGAGGAGCATTTGTAATCCAAAAATTATTTTCTTATAAACATAATAGAGAAGTTCTCTTTGCCCAGTCTCTGATATGCTGCTTCATTTCAGGTTTTTCTCCCACGACTGTACACACAACCAATAGAGTATCATTAGTGCTCCTTTGAAGTATAATTGTTCTTAGCAAAAATAATTATTCTGGAGTTCTTGTTATAGAACATTTTGTAACAGGAAAGCATGTATAAATATACTCCAAAGAATTACTTAGTAACAGTTTCCCAGCAAATAAGAAGTTACTAAGGAGTCTCTCCCATCAGGGGTTGCAAAGGTGAGTGTGACCTAATGCCTGTCTTCAAAGATTTTGTGAACTCCCCGACTGAGTTCACAAAATCCCCATGCAGTTAGGGAGTGAGGGAGACTGTCAATGGGATAGGAGAGGCTGAAGCCAAATACAGCGGTGCCTTCAAGAATGGAGAGATTGTATGTGGCCAAAGGGTCTGAAAAGGCTTTGTGAGGACCACGGTTTGTTTTAACGTCACTGTTCTGAGGCATCGTCTGCACACAGTGAGTGAGAAGTGCCTCAAGTACCTGAGCCGTGGGGATGCCACCCTGCTGTTCCCCTACTTATCATTTCTCCAAAAGAAACTAGGAAAGCAAACCTAGATTTTATTAGTGCTTCATTGTAGATGAGTGAATAGAATTTCCGTTGATAAGTAATCTTCTAAATTTTAAAGAATGATGTTTGCGTTCGTTTGTGTGGCTGACAGTCCAGTGTTGGGCTCTTGAGAGCCAAGGGGTAAAGCTGCCTAAATAATTCTCCCTTTTATAACTGCTTGGCCTTTTCTGTTCACTCAAGGTCCGTTTTCTGAAGGCCTCGTTCAACTCTTGCAGAGGTGTTACATTTCTTCTCTAGATTTGGTTCACCCTTTCCCCCTGAATGATTTCCTGCTTTAATATTTTCTTGAACGTACCCTACTACATTTGGCGTAACTTGTTAAATTATTGTAGGGTGGAATTTACAAGGATCCCAGGAAGCATAAATGTGTGTGGTTATTTGAAAATCACTGTTATTTCTGATAATGTTCCAGAAAGCTTTTCTAGAGATCTGATTAGGACTCCTAATTATCTTCTTGAAAATAGAAGTATCTGCATTCCATGTTGCTTGAAGCACTTCTAGATTTCTTGCTTATTTGCCTCACCAAATCGCCACTTGAGGCCCACATAGTTTCACACTATAGAAGGAAGTTTATACACGTACATTTGTTGATTACTCGTTGATGTAGCACTCTAAAAAGAAAATCACACCTTTGAAAATCTAAAAATTATGCTGACTCATATTTATGATTTACGTACTATACATTCACTTTTTTTGAAACTATTTTTGTGGCTCTCTGGATTGCAGAGGCCAGGTAGGTAGAAGGCTAGCTATAGCTAGTGAGCATTCATTGCCACTTTTCTTGGACCAGTTGTCTCTCCGATAAGAGATGTCCTTTGTCCATTCCTATTCCACTGCTCTGCCTGGCACAAGTCCACCACCCCCTTCTGGAAGATGGCAGCATCTAACTTCTTACTATAGCCACTGAGGAATTTTCTGGATCCAGGCTCTCCAATTTTCTTTGGCCTATTCTGTCTCTGCCAAAATCAGGTACTTGCCCTTCTTCTGATACATTCCGCCTTGTCCTTTTCCTTTGTGTTTGTTCACGCAGTGTTCTTCTCATTTCCGCCCAGTGACATCCTGCTCTTCCTTTAAAGTCTAGCTCCAGTGCCGCTTCCCGCACGAGGCCTTCTGATCCTTCCAGAAACTGTGATCTCTGCCAGTGGCATACCATTCTTCCAGTGCTTGTCATATTTGGCATTCTACTGTGGTTATTTGTGCATGTCCTATCACCCCTGGGGAGAGATACCATATCATCTCATCTATTTTTATATTCTCATAGCATGTAGTATGGAATCAGGTACATGGTAAGCACTCAGCGAAGATTTTTCGATTTAATACAATTTGTGAGTTCCACACATGTACCAGATGGAGGTGACTGGGAGACCACAGTTAATGTATGGTGCCCACTTCAGCCTCCCTCTCTGGAAGAATGTAAATTGTTATAAACCTTAACACTACTGTGTGGTTCTCATTCATTTCCTGCTGTAATTTCAGAAATGTATCTATTAGAATAGTTACAAGAGTGTTTATCTCCTTTAACATGATTTTTGATAATATATTTTATACAACTTTGAGGTATGCCTCATCAGAACTCACATATTTGCCTTCTATATTTTCTCAAAGCTGGTACAAGACTACAACAACTAAAAAGTTGGTAAAAATCTGCGATCCTTACTACATACTTACATTGTTAGGCAGAAATCCAAGGAATAGGGTGAAAATGTTGCATACAACTTCAACAGCTCCTTTTTCATCTTCCAGCACTGGAATGAGAAGAGGCAGAACTGTAGAGAGGCCAAGTGATTGCTTAAAAACACCTCTTAGATTGCAGCAGAGCTTGACTAGCAAAATAACCTCCAGCAAAACTTTCTTAAGCAGTTATGTGAGGGAATCGTAAAAATTGGTTGGTTACAGCAAAGTGGCTAAAGTCACATTTGAATGACTGTAAAAGCACCCTGAGTTATACAACAATCTCCATTTGTGTGTGTGTCTGTGTGTGTTCATGTGTGTGAAAGAGAGAGAAAGTGAAAGAATTAATAGTTACAGAGAACAAACGTTTAGATCAGTGGTCCCAACCCTTTTGGAGTTACGACATCCAAGAGGCCCCACATGTGGTTTTTGGTCCCTTGGATAGTGGCTGCTCCTATTTTGCCCGTCTTCAATCCACCTTTAGCACAACCAGAACTGCTGCTGTGATAGTAACAGGGTATATGTGTGTTTATTTTGCGGAGGTTGCAGCAGAGAGTAGGGAGTGAATAAAGAGTGTAATTCAAAGATAGCACTTGGAGTTGTTAGAATATCTGTGATTCCAAAAATTGAGAAAAAGAAAACCATTGAAACAGTGTTTAACAGAACCGGCCCTTCTGAGAAATTATTAGCAATTGCTTATGTAAGTCTGTGTCTTCATGCTGCCTGTATTTTTCACCTTAACACTGCTTGAAATATTATTAATTAAATATTTACATAGATAACAATTATTCTATTTTAAGAACGCAGACCTCTTTGGAAAACTTAAGGGGAACTCTTGGAGGAATTAACAAGAAGCTTTGGCCTAATAGCTGACTGTGTGCCTTTCATCGTTTGGGATCTTTTGTTTGTAGAAATTCTCTTTTCCCATTTTTCAGCTGGAAAATTCCTACTTATCTTTTAGGGCCCAGCTCAGAAGCCACATGCCCTGTGTAACTGTCCCAGATCCATCTCCTGTCTGGCAGGAAAAGTAATTATCCCTCCATCTGGATTCTCATTTAAACAGGTCTTTTCACACATTTGATTACAATTTTTCTTTACATTCTTATTTCCCAGTAGAAAGAATAAATACCATGGCATACTCAATGCTGTATCGGTGGGGCTCAGTAACACACACCGGTTGAGTTAAAAAATTTTGGCAATTAGATGACCTTAATTTTAAATGAATCACACTAGGTGATTTTCAAGTCAGTCCTTGCCAAATCTAACATTTTATGATCTCAGGAGAAATGGTTAAATTTTAGTCACTGACAATTATGATAAAATAATAATAAAATAATAACAAGTATAGTTAGCATATCCAGATAGTTTATTATATTTCACATATTGGGATTTATATTCACTTCCATTTAATTTTAACAGCAACTCTATGGTGGTGGTAGTATTATTACCATGTTGACAAATGTGGAAGATTATGTGACTTCCTCGAGATTGCGTAACTAGTAATTGGCACGATGTGAACACAGGACTATCAGATTTCCAAGCTTATCTGTTAATCAGCAGAGTTGAAACTAAAAGGTAAAAAGCCAGGCAGCCACCTGAGGCATTTATTTATAAGGGTTGCTAACACATGAGTCACTGGAATAAGAATACTACTACTAGTTAAAATAGATTTCCATATCTCAATTCTTACCTATCTGAAAACAAAACAAAATACACTTGATTCCTTAAAGGAGGCCACATCCTTTCATGCATGCCCCTCCTCCTCTGCCTGGTCTCTGTCTGTCCCTGTTCTCCACGATGAAGGCCCTTAATTAAACCTATCCTGATCCCCTATGCTAAAAACTAGAAGGAGCTTCCTATTCTGAACCCAGGCATTTTTTTTTTCATTTTTATGACTCTTATTTTCTATCTGGTATTATAATTTCAGCAGGATGATAAGATTAAATCCAGTTTGAGCTGAGGTCCTATGTGCCCATCACTCTCAGACTCCAAAGGGCAGTGTTACTCCTCCCAGGTAGCACTTACCCAGGGCAGGTGGTGCAGGACACAGGTTTGGGGATGCCGGCTCAGCACACACCTTCAGCCTGTACATGAGGCTGGAAGGAGATTTGGGAAGTAGAAGGAGGTGATGTGTCTAGGGCAAGTGGCAGTTGCGCTATGAGCCCCATCCTAGCGAGGGGGCAGCAAGGAGAGCCTGGCATGTAGGCCCTAGCTCTTGGGGGACAGGGTGTGGTGTGTGAGTCATGCCAGTGCAGAGAACAGAAGGCGGTGGGTGGGAAGTAGCTGCTTTCCTGCTAACAGTGGACCAGAGATATTGGGTGGAATTGTGAGTGACCATCCGGAGCAGGTGCTTTGGGGCATGTCAAGGAGGGTCCACCCATGAGCAGAGCAAGCAGCTTTGAGCATCTGCACGGTAAACCAACAAAGATATTTGCAGGGCAGTTTGACCTTCCTTGCCCTCTTTTCTCCTGCAGGGGTCAGAAGAAACTACTAGTCAGCCAGTGGGATCTAGGGCTGGGCAAGTGAAGAGAGGAAGCCCACCCTGCCCTTGTGCCCCACAGTTGCCTGAGCCGGTGGAGGGTGACACTTTCCCTTTGAATGGAGTCCATAGTTTGGTTATTACGTGGACTGGGTATTTACCGAATGAAGACTGTTTTAGGGACTTTTTGTTATCCACAACTTGGCACCTCACCATGGTGCCTGTCTCAGATTTAATCCGGGGCTAGCGTAAGGTGTCGCCTGGTCAGATAGGTTTCCAGGGGCACTTGTACAGGAGGAAAAATTGCTTTGTGACTTTTGAGTATTGCTTGTGTGTTGCTCTTTCCGTATGCCTGGGTCTTATTTCTCCTTTCCTGCACTTGAGGCTCTGTGAATGCTGCAGCTTGGAAATGAGAGGGGCACTGTTGTCTCAGCTGTCAGCACTTAGTTATTTTCGTAAATCGTACAGAGCTGAGCACTCAGTTGTTCAATACATATTTGTTGAAGAAATAGTTTGCAAAATTAAGCCAAATATAATTTTCATTAAAATTTTTTGAAAAGTACAGGCATTATTTTTTAAGGAAACTTTAATTTCAGAGTAGTAATCTTAAACTTGCAGAGAAGCTATAATGATACTACAGAGTTCCCATATACTGCATGCCTAGTTTCCCGTTGACGCCTGACTTAAGTATATTTGTCACTACCAGTGAATTAGTGATTGCTTTTTATTTATACAAATTATTCTTCTTACAGCATAAGATAATAAAGGAAAGAATGCCACAGTGTTTGTCTCAGAGTAGCTATTTTGATTTCCAGATTGAGGTTTTGTACTATTTGCTAAACTTTGTTATGCATTTGCTTTGTACAAGTAATGTGCTTCCTAATTTCAGTTACAAATCAAAGTGTATTGCACAATTCCCAGTGAGTCAGATTGCTAAGTTCTGTGACCTTTGAATTTCATAAAGTGGTTATGTTTTTCTTTAAAATGGCCAAGGAGGAACTTGATATTTATGTGGACTGTTGTCTTCAGTCTGTGATGGAGTGCTTCATGTTGTTGCCAGAAATAACATGAATTAACAGTTAAGATCATTTTTGGTACCGGTGGTTTTGTACAAAACCATAAAATATAACAGGGTGATCAAGCAAAACTTTTTCATCTAAGAAGTTTTCCCTTAAATACAGCTCACCCTTTATGTCTCTGATTTCAAGAAATTTTGTGGTCTTCCTCATAGAATAATTATAAAGCAAAAGTCAGTTAATATAAGAAAAATGCTGAAAAGGCCAGAAGACTCTAAATAAATTCAAGCAACAGAATCAGTTTGGATTAGTTTCATACATAGTTTGTCACTATTTGCGAGAACCACATTTGGTGGTCTGTTATTTAATATTTATGTGTTCCCAAGTAAAGTTTAAATTATTAAAGTGAACAATGCTGAGATTGAAGTACTCTCAGATGGTGTAACTCCTATGTGAAAATGGCTTAATAAATTTGTTTTTGCAGACAACTTAATCATCTGTAATGGAAATGTCATCAATCCAGTATTTTTTCATGTCACCCATTCTCTACAGTATTGTAGTCACTGGGTTTACAGCTTAACAGCCACTAGCACTGGTGAATGTCTACAATTGGATGTCTTCTGTTGGTCCTAACTCAGTATGTCTAAAACCAATTCTTTTGAAGTCTTAGATATTTCTCTTGAAATCTCAATTTCAATTTATGACAATAAATCAGTGACCTATCCTCACACCTCATACTTTACTTTTTTTTTTTTGAGATGGAGTCTCACTGTGTCGCCCAGGCTAGAGTGCAGCGGCATGATCTTGGCTCACCGCAACCTCCGCCTCCTGGGTTCAAGTGATTCTCCTGCCTCAGCCTCCCAAGTAGCTGTGATTACAGGCATACACCACCAGGCCTGGCTAATTTTTGTCTTTTTAGTAGAGATGGGGTTTCACCAGGTTGTCCAGGCTTGTCTCAAACTCCTGACCTCAGGTTGTCTGCCTGCCTCAGCCTCCTAAAGTGCTGGGATTACAGGCATGAGCCACTGCGCCTGGCCTGTACTTTTGATTTGCTTTCTTTCCATCCCATTTCGGTCTTCATATTGTTGACTTTGAATGGCCTTTCTATGCATTTTTTCCTATTCACTTTAAATCCCTATTTTAAGGATCACCTCATATCTGGATTATTGACATAGCATTCTGACTGGTCTACCCTCCTCTATTTTCTCTTCTCCCAACACACACACACACACCACATGCATATACACACAGATCACACCCACACAGACCACACCTACATACCATCCTGCATACCCTTTCTTCTCACAACATAAACACACACAAACACCAACATCCCCCCATATTCTTCCTCTATATAATACACACATGCAAACACACACTTCATTAATTGATCTAGTTCATGGTCACATTAATTGTCCTAAAATACTTACCCTTCATTTCAGCTTACTAAAAACTTCGTGGGTAGCTCCTTATGCTTACGGGATGTAGTCTGGACTTTTCAGTCTGGCTTTGTAGGCAATTCACCTTTCAGTTCACTTTGTTGAGAACTCTTCCTCTGCTATGCCCTTGGCTTTCTGTATGCAAGAGGAGATTTATGTGCTTGTTATCAAGACTTTCTACAGAGTGACCTGGCCTTTGTTTAACCAAGTCAGCTGTTTTTGTGCTATCATCTAGAACTCATTGGGGATTGTTCAGTGGCCTAAGCCTACCACCCTCCCTCTGACATGTCACTGACATGACATGACACTGAGAATGAACTCAACCATGGGAATGTGGATGCAGTGTCGCAGTGCCATAAAGGGACAAAATACTTCTGATTGCTAATGGAGTTGCTTGATCACTGTACATCACTCCAAACACAAGCATCACAGGTGGCATATGAAGTTTAAGAGACAATTGTTTTTTTCCACCCTAAGCACAATTTCTTGTGGAACCCTTCTTGACATCATGGAATCCCAATCAAGAAACCCTGCTCTAGCTCTAGAAGAAGAGAAAGAGAACCATGTTTGGTTTTAGTTATTTCAGATCCTGTAGAGAACCACCGAAGAAGGGGCTCCAGAAATGCAAACCCCTGTGTTAAAAGCTAGGGTACTGTGAATCAGTCTTTATACACTGAGGAAGCTACAGGTTGTATAACTGGAATCTTGACAGTGTAATACAAAGTGTTTCATGCTGTGATGCTTAGTGACAGAAAGAACTCTACCCTTTTAAGACTAACAGTCTGGGGTCTTTGTTCTTGAAATTCCGTATCTGCAGATGTGGTCATAGGTTTATCAGGGGTATCCAATATTTTTTGGCTTTTCTGGGCCACATTGGAAGAAGAAGAATTGTCTGGGGCCACATGTAAAATACACAAACACTAAGGATAGCTGATAAGCTAAAAAAAAAAAAATCACAAAAAAATCTCGTAATGTTTTAAGAAAGTTTACAAATTTGGCCGGGTGTGGTGGCTCTTGCCTGTAATCCCAGCACTTTGGGAGGCCGAGGCAGGCAGATCACAAGGTCAGGAGATCAAGACCATCTTGGCCATCCTGATCTCAGCTACTCAGGAATCTGAGGTGGGAGGATCACTGGACCCCAAGAGGTCAAGGCTACAGTGGTCCATGATTGCACCACTACACTTCAGCCTGGATGATAGAGTGAGACTCTGTCTCAAAAGAAAAAATAACAAAAACCATGTATTTTAGGCCATCTGTGCATTTAGAAGCCATAAAGGGGTTACTTACCTAACTTAAACTGGATTCTCATTCATCCCGAGTAGTCCCAGCTACTTGGGAGGCTGAGGCAGAAGAATTGCTTAAACCTGGGAGGCGGAGGTTGCAGTGAGCTGAGATTGCGCCACTGCATTCCAGCCCATGGGCTGCAGGTTGGACAAGCTTGACATGGATGCTGGAAAAAATGGAATAGACAGTGTTTAAGATTTGAAGACATAATTTCTATATATATGTTGTTTAATGAATATTACCATTTGATCACTTTTTGGTATTTAGCTTAATTCAAATTTTTATCCTTTTATAAATTACCTGGTACCCAGTAAGATCTGGGTGTTTGTGTTCCTAGTGTACTAGTTTTGAGCTGAGATTAGCTTGTACATTGGCTAATGGGAATGCTGTGTAGGACCCTGCTTATCTTCTGAATCTGGTCAGCCATCAAGTTCACCCCATATTAGGGCATCAGTTACTGGGGTACAATGGCATACTAGGTCATAGCTGTGGACATTATTTGCCCTCCTTAAGCATAATAGCATCTGTGTTTTTGACATCATTACCCATGTAATCTTAATAACTTAGTTTCCATATTTACACTTAAAATGCAAACCACTCTATTTGGAGGAAATTACTTTTCCCCCTAACTAAAAATACTAGTTTTTTTGCCCGGGCGCGGTGGCTCATGCCTGTAATTCCAGCACTTTGGCAGACCCAGGTGGGTGGATCACCTGAGGTCAGGAGTTTGAGAGCAGCCTGGCCAACATGATGAAACCCCATCTCTACTAAAAATACAAAAATTTGCTGGGTTTGGTGGCATGCACCTGTAATCCCAGCTATTTGGGAGGCTGAGGCAGAATTGCTTGAACTCAGGAGACGGAGGTTGCAGTGAGCCGAGATTGCACCGTTGCACTCCAGCTTGGATGACAGAGGGAGACTCTGTCTAAAAAAAAAAAAAAAAAAATTAGTTTTTGACTGTTCAGACCTTTTACCTTCTGCGATTCTCCTCCCCTTTATGTGCTCCGACGGCACTGTCTGCTTCTCTCCTTGTGGCATGTATCACACTGTACTGTACTTGCCCATTTTCTTGTCTGTTTCCTCTACGGGAAGGTAAGCCGTGTGGTGTCAAGGGACCATTCCTGTCTGGCTCATCCTTCTCCTGCCTGGCACAGTGTCTGTCAGGTTTTAGGTCACAGAATAAACATTTGTTGAGGGAATTAACTTGGTAAATATGTCTCTTACTCGATAATTATGTTGCTTAAATGTGGTTTATGACAATTAACTTCTCTGCAACAATAAATTGAAAATTGGGGTTGTTAATAGGTTGGGAATTAATCCTGAAACTGCCATTATATGTTAAAATAAACTTCCAAATGTAGTATTTTTTTTTTCTGGTAATAACCTGGGAAGACCTAATGACTTCATTTCCTTTTTGTTTGTTTGAAATCGTGGAATCGATTTAGTTTATTTGGCTATTTGACTTTATTTAGAGGTGACAGTAAAAAGGTATTTTGACTGGATGTGGTGGTTCATACCTGTAATCCCAGCAGTTTTGAAGGCTGAGGTGGGACGATTGCTTGAACCCAGGAGTTTGAGACTAGCCTGGTCAACATAGTGAGACCTTGTCTCTACTGAAAATAAAAAATAAAAAAATAACTGTGTGTGTGTGTGTAAGCATGTGCCTATCATCCCAGCTACTCAGGAACCAAAGGTGGGAGGATCACTGGAGCCCAAGAGGTCAAAGCTACAGTGGGCCATGATTGCACCACTGCACTCCAGCCTGGATGATAGAGTGAAACTCTGTCTTAAAAGCAAAGCAAAGCAAAACAAACAAACAAAAAAACCCATGTCTTTTAGGCCACCTGTGCATTTAGAAGCCATAAAGGGGTTACTTACCTAACTTAAACTGGATTCTCATTCAGATATGTGTTTTGTGTGAGGGGAAACAAAATTAGGGTGAATAGGGAAGGTATAGCCCAAACTTCTACAGCCCTCACAAAATTTCAAGCTCTTATTCATTGTAACTTACAGGCTTCTCTTCTACTCCCAGACATGCGAACACTGCTATCCCCAGCTCTACTCCCCAACCTGTTTGGATTGCCTGGTTATTATTTGGAGTAGTTGAGACTAGTGACATTTCAGTAAGTAAATCTTGTTAAACTGACTGATTCATCCTTAGCCTTATGAAAATTTATGGGCTTAACTAAAGTTAATACTACAAACGGAAGCAGTGCTTTTTGAATCCCAAGTGTCTTCAGAAGCTCTGTAAGCATCCATGGACTGGGTGTGGTGGCTCACCCCTGTAATCCCAGCACTTTGGGAGGCTGAGGCGGGTGGATCACCTGAGGTCAGGAGTTTGAGACCAGCCTGGCCAACACGGTGAAACCCTGTCTCTACCAAAAAGAAAAAAAAAAAAATTCGAAAATTGGCCGGATATGGTGATGTGCTTGTAGTCCCAGCTACTTGGGAGGCTGAGGCAGGAGAATTGCTTGAACCCAGGAGGCAGAGGTTGCAGTGAGCCGAGATCGCACCACTGCACTGCAATCTGGGTGACAGAGTGAGACTCTGTCTCAAAAGAAAAGAGGCTCTGTATGCATCCCCGTCGTTGCTTAACTCTATAAATTGGGGCTGTCACTACAGCTTCACAGAACCATTTCAGCATTATTTTTTGAAACACTTTCACCAAACGGCCCTTGTCATTGAAGCATTTTGGGAAATGTACTTTGCTCCAAATGTTTGTGGGTTTGAGAGGAATCCTAAAGCCCATGTGGCAGACATAACAATAGTATTAAAGATATTTTAGGGTAAGACCTCCTGTTTCATACTAAGTGATAACTAGTTCTGTTTCATCACATTATATCATACGGTGGGGAAGAGTTTTATTATGTATTTCATTTAACTCTCATTATCAGGATTAGAATTTGAATAATTTTCATATTTTCCATGTGCTTGCCTTCTAGGCTCAGTAAAACAAAGGAGCAGTAGTGGAGAAGAGCATTTAAACAATTTGTTGGAAAATATATGGCATAACGTTTGGGTTCTTCTGGCTTTTTTATCTCTGTGGCCTGATAAGCTTTTGCCATGTGGATTCATGGTCTATGTGAAATGTCTTACATTTTATATTAGTTAAAATATTTTATGTCTGCACTTAGAATATAGGCTAAATTTTCCCCTTCAGTATTTCTAAAGTAGTGATTTTTTACTTTTAATGTCCACGCGGTTTTTCTGAAAAAGAGACAGGTGTTTAATTTCTTGATAACTAAATATAGACCTGCACATCATGTAGTGTGGTGTGCCCTGACCCAACTTCTTCAGCAAATGTAGCACGTGTGGAGTTTATTTATAGTTTGACCTCTAGTCTTCATTGGCTTCTAGTTTATTTGGGGCTTAATTCATTAGTGTGACAGACTGTGATATTTAAGGGTCAGCTCTGAGGAGAAGGAGATAGAAGAAGAACCACTGTTCTGGCGTTTGTACACTACTGTGCTATGTTCGTACCTGGATTACTTGTGTGCGTGGAGATGGGCCTGGGTTAGGCAGACCATAGCAGAGGGTAGACTGATAGCATAGGAACCTTTGGAATGAAAAGGGGGGATGGCTGTAATATAGGAAAGCTCTTAAAGGGGACATGATGTGAATATATCAAACATAGTAATTATAGCTACCATTTATTGAGTGATTATCATGAGCATACATTGTTATTTACATACATTAGCTTATTGAAACCTCACAGCAATACTCTGAGAGTGCTGTTATTTCCTTTATACAAGGCAGGCAACTGAGTTTTAAGGTAAGTGGCAAATTTGGATAAGACAAACAAATTTGGTGAACAAATTTAAAAATCTGAAAGCTGGGGAAATCCTTTACAACATCTGTCAAGTGGGTCAGAATATTTACAAG